GGGCGATAATCGCAATTTCCCACATTTGGGGCGTTACATCCATTGCAGACGACTTTGGCGCAACCAGGTATTGTAAGTGCGAGAGTAGGCTTGTCCTACGATCCACTAAGATTTAGCCTGCGTTGCACGATGTGTTTTTTTTCTCCCCAGCTGCCCTTTGCTTGCTGGGAATTTCCACATGGCAGGCTTCGCTGCAACTTTACTCCATCCTGCACATAATGCTAGGGTGTGATGAAATTCAACAAAGCGCGAGTTAACGGCGGACGTAAGTATGACGTGGAGAACTTTGCTTGCTGGGTTTTTGGAGTGGGGGGCCCCTCCCAAAAAGGAAAAAGATCGTTTGTACGGAGCGTCAGCTCCTACGGCACGGCCAAAGTCGAAGGCCAACCGTTTTCACTCGCCATAACATACATATGATACCGAGAGTGACTAAGTATAAGTGCATCATTAGTGTATTAGTGCATCATTAGTGTATTCATCACAGCGTGTTGGCCGCGCAAGAGCGATTGCCTCCTCGCGCTCGCCTTGATTGTCAGCCACGTGAAAACCCCAGATCTGATTACTGTGTCGGATACAGTCAGTGCTGATGATGCGTTGTAATACCCATGCGGTGCGTTCGGCAATGCCTAGATCTTGTGTAAGCACCTTTCTATTGTCTTGCGCTATACAGCCCAACGAGCCGTATACTAGCGCATGCACTGATACCCGGTACCCACAAAACTCATAGTGGGTCTTGAGATCCTTGTACTTCTCCTCCTTGTGAATGGCGGAGGAGCCGAACGAGTTTTTCCTGTAGTCTTCAAAGACTATCGCGACATCTGCGATTGTCATTGTCTTTGACTTTTCGTCGCGCAGAATAATGTCTGGTCTCAATCGTGTTTCCATATCATCCGGGCACTTATCGATCAGTAAGGTTTTCCCCCTGTTGACTGCGCTTTGTGTAATGGCCGTTGTTATCCGCTCCAGTACTTTGTTGTGGCGCATTTTTATTTTGCTGTCCATACTGTGCGGGCAGTGGTTGAGGATATGCGCGAGGGTTTCAGGGTCAGCTGTACAATGGCGGCAACGGGCTAGCTTTGTTACCCCAATTCGTTTGAGGTATTGCCGTGTGGGGAGCTGCGCAGATCTCGCCCTGATGGCGAAGATGATGTCTTCGGGCTTCAGACGAGACGGCCCCCGTAGAAACGCGTTACTATCCGCCGTCTGGTAAGCCACCGATTTTCCTTGATCCACCTGTTCTTTCCACACCTCCCGCTGCCATTCCGCCATATGCTGTTTAATACTCCTAATGAGCTGCTTCTGGTCGAGAGCGGCGCCATCTGCTTTCTGAAGCACATAGCGGCCATTAACCCCAGTTGCGAGTCGCGTCTTGCTCATCGCGATATTACCTGGGAGTTCTGACCAGAGGCTTCTTATATCCGCTTTCTTGCTTCTCCGTCGTAGACAGCCGATATCTTTGCCGTTGAGAAAGGCAAGAATAGCCTCTCGGTCGCTAGTCTCGTCATCTGGTGTGTAGACAAATGCCCGCTTAAA